TGATGTATCAATACTTCGCAGGACATCGACTTATAATTATGGCAATTGCTGTCAACAGTAGTTAGTACTGTACGAACAATAAAAATGTCATTAATTGTTTTAAAGTGCAATGTATTTCGCAACTTAGTTTCAGATGTCAGCATCTGATTGCGGTTGCTACACAGTTTCTTTGTGTTATAACTTCTAAGTAACTTTTAACTTAGCTGTGCTCTAAGCAACTGACTGAAACTGAATAAAGCAAAATAAATGCGTTGCCAAAACCATGAACAAAAACTTTAATAAAGGGGTTTCCCCGCTTATAGTCGTCGGTAAAAAAATCAAGTTGATCATCCTAAAGGGGAAGCCAGGAGATCCATAGCACAGGGTATCCTAGTTTGGACTCGTCTCCCATGCTCTTTGTTTTGTGGAAAAAATATGTTTGAAAAAGATAAACTGCAATGTAATATTTGTGGGAAAAATAATAAAGGTCATTATTATTATTATCGGTAATGTGGACTAACAGTGCTGCTATAAAAGAGTTAATAACCCGCTAGTCGATAAAATATTGAAATGTGTGCTAAATACACCAAAAAGCGCTGGATTAAGCTAGGGCTAAAATTTCGAAATGCGCGCTATACATTCCAAAAAAGCGCTAAATCTAGTTCCCAAAGCCCTAAAGTGGCAGTACTGATTTTGCGTATATTATAAATACAATATCACGACATTTCGTTGCAAAATTTTTATTTTTGGTCGGATTCCGTTGTATGGCTTCGATGGATACAAATTTCTTCAGTAAGTCTCAATACGATTCATCGGCGAAAAATCTCAACACAGCAATTCAGAAAAGTTTGTAATTTGTACAACTCCATCTATTACGTCCTTTGTGTGAGAAAACATCCTTTTTAAATCTCTTTTTGTGTTTTAAGTATAAATATATTAATTATTATGGAACGTTTTTTTTACACACAAATCTTTTTATTACTATTTCTGAGATTTTATGGCGCCATTGAACAAATTCGAACCTACATTTCATAATAATAATCATTACTTTCGATAGAATTAACCAATTTTAATAAAACAAAGATTAAATGTAACTCGAAGATACGCTTTATGATTTTCTTAACGATTTCTTTGAAAATAAAAGATGTTTACTTTAGACGTGATGCGTTCATATAATAACAGACAAATAGACATACAGACAATTCTAAAAATTATAAAATGTTCTTATTTAATTATTTTCAGTTCCCCATAATGATTTTAGCCACCAAAATATATACCTATACAATGTACAGAAAGAGACACAATATGTTATCATCATTTTTATTATATGTATATATTTAAAGAGAGATGGCGCTGCTAACATCAATTCTAAAAATAAAAGAGATTAATTGACGCGATTGATACATTATATAAAACGCAAGAGTACTTATAAATCAGTGCCTGCACAGTAAGCAAAAAATAAAGTTTGACTCTCGCCAAAACCAACGATTTGTTAATAGCTCTTTTAAAATTTGATTTACCACATAGAGTACTCGGCGGTAAAGAATAAATTGAGTTTATCAACACGCAGTAGGGCAGCGAGTAATATAATAAAGATTAGCAGTAAATATGAAAACTCATCTACAGGAAAAAAAAAACATTGCAATTGCATTACATTTTCACAACACCACCATCTATCGAAGAAATGGGAAAACTATTGTGCTTCAGATTTAGTTAATAAGGTTAATATATTTTTGTATAATATTGTAATGAATTAATACGTTTTTTAATACTTTTGTTTACTGCGTTTTAGATATACATAATTATATCATTATTTTACATAATTTAACTATGATTTATGATATGATATTAGTTTAAAATGCACCTGATGACTCAAACAAAGCCACCGTTGAGCAAATTCGTACCTATACTTCCCTACCCATACTTCAGAATATTTATCATAACTTTTGATGGAATGAACTGATTTTATTGAAATAAAGACTAAATGTAACCCGAAGATACACTTTATAATTTCCTTAACAATTCTTATGATATAAATTAGTACTTTATACGTGATACGTTAACAAACAAACAGACAGACAGACAGACAGACAGACAGACAGAAAATTCTAAAAATGGTAGAAATGTATTTAATTACTTATTTTTAGTACCCCTCAATCACTTTTATTACAAAAATATAAAATGTACAGACATCTGCTATTTACAGTTTTATTATATGTATAGATTTTTCATTTATATAAAAAAAAATCTTCAAGTTTTTTATTGTATTGCTCTCTATCTGTTAGTCAAGTTTCATTACAATCGGTTCAGCCATTCGGAAGAGTAGGCCGGACAGACAGACAGCAAAACCTTTTTTTACTAAGAATGGTTATTAAGTGGTGAAGCTTGCGAAGTCACTTATTGATTTCACGATGTCTATCCGTCTGTCCGTCTGTCCCACGATTATCTCGAGAACGGTTTCGAATTTTCAAATTCTGTTTTCAGCTACCGATTACTGATCACCCAGGCATCTGAATCTCCTATTTTGAAACTGATTGCTCAACGGCAACCGTTAGAAACCGCTACAAAGCTGATTGCTTCGCCACTTTGCTATGCTGTAGCTTGCTAGGTTTATTTTATGTTTCAACTCAAGGTTGACAGCTCTAACCACTAACACCATCAGAAACCAGAAAGAGTATGCACTTACTTTCATATAGACTGTGTATTTGTTTGGCACCTTATTTTCTACTGACTTCAAACACAAGGAGGTACTCAAATCGAGTGTATGATTTTTTATGTGTGTTACCTCATAACTTCCTTCTGGGTGAACTGATTTCGATGATTCTTTTTTTATTTGAAAGCTGGTGCTTCACATGTGGTCCCATATAAATTTGATCAAGGTCTGACTAATAATGTTATTCTTAATATTGAAGTCGGTTGAACAAAATTTTTAATTTTTAATTATTACAAAAATAATTTAAAATTAATAATTTTGTACAGCCGACTTCAATATACGTTATTAAGAATAATTCAAAAACTATTGGTCTGACCTTGGTCAAATTTATATGGGACCACATGTGCAGTACCAGCTTTCAAATAAAAAAAGAATCAAAGAAATCATCGAAATCGGTTCACTCAGTAAAAAGTTGTGAGGTTACACACATAAAAAAACATACAGTCGAATTGAGTACCGTCTCCTTTTTGGAAGTCGGCAGAAAATTACGATTGACCCTACATGCCAGCGCCGCAACTTCAGTCGAATTTCAAATGCACAGCGCTCCTAATTCCCCCTATTCTGACGTTTCTGAGCTCTTCGAGCTCAAAAAAGTAATTTATTACATCAAAAACGATCCGAGAAGATATTTCAACGTTATTTGAAAAAAATAATTACTTTTTTCGAAATTGTTCGTTAATTTTCTTCAACGCATCAACCGATTTTGATGCGGTTTGCAGCAATCGACGGCGTTTTTAGGGTTCCGTACCTCAAAAGGGAAAAACGGAACCTTATAGGATCACTTTGTTGTCCGTCTGTCTGTCTGTCAAGACCCTTTTTTTCAGAAACGCGTGGAGGTATCAAGCTGAAATTCATATCAAATACTCAAGCCTACTGTCCCTTGAAGCTGTGAAAAATAAAACTTCTAAGCCAACGCAATCAAAACATACGCTGTTTATGCCGCAAATTTTCGGCATTTGCAAGGGAATCAAAATCTACAGGGCACTTCCCGTGAACTCAGAATCTTGAAACTTGGTGCGAAGTAACTTCTTATAGCACAGATAAAGAAAAAATTGCGAAAAACATAAATTTTTAGTTACATCATATAATAAAAATATTTTTAATAATTTTAAACTTACTACCCCTTTCCTCATGAACACGTAGTGGTATTTTATTGAAATTCATATCAAATTTGTACGGAACCCTCAGTGCGCGAGTCCGACTCGCACTTGGCCGGTATTTTTGAGTTTAAGATCTGATTACATTTTGGAATTGATCGTTACATCTGTTTAAAAGTTATTTCGAAATAAAAAAACAGTTTTTTGAAAATTTTGTTTTTGGGATTTCTCAAAATCTACGTGTTCGAATCGGTTCAAATGGTATAGAAAATTTAACATAATTCCAAGCACATCAAAACGTCGAGATCTGATGAAACATCGATTTTCGAAAACTGGGGTGAAACCATTAACTTCCCGATTTATTGAAAATCATTGATTTTCATAGCGGGAATATATATAATAATAATAATAATATTGAATCTCATATTGTTATTATGACCTTAATCAAAAAGCACAGCTTTGCTAAGTCCCGTTTTGTTAAAGTTGCAGCCTACATACCTCCCACTGCTGGGCACAGGCCTCCTCTCATTTCTGAGAGGATTTTAGGGCAAGGAAATGTCCGCCTCGCTGCCCCAATGCGTGTTGGCGAACTTCACATGTCTTCGAATTTTTCTTATTTCTCAGACATGCAAGTTTCCTCACGATGTTTTCCTTCACCGCTGGGCACGTGGTAAATCAGCACTTAAAATTGCAATGAACTATTTCATTGATGCTGGCGAGGATCGAATTCGGGTTGCTCGCGTACTGTGTTCCATTTCGTTACATAATAATTTAAAATTAAAAATTTTGTACAGCCGACTTCAATATAAGTTATTTAAGAATAACTTAAAAACTATTGGTCTGACCTTGATCAAATTCATATGGGACCACACGAGAAGTACCAGCTTTCAAATAAAAAAAGAATCATCGAAATCGGTTCACCCAGAAAAAAGTTCTGAGGTAACACACATAAAAAAAAAAAACGAAAAAAAAAAAAACATACAGTCGAATTGAGTACCGGCTCCTTTTTGGAAGTCGGCAGAAAAGAAATAGAAACATTTTTATTCAATATAGATTATAAATAATACTTATTGAAAGTCATTCTTGTTTAATTTACCACTGGTTCGGTATGAATTCCACTGAGTTTTTATAGTATAAGAAATATAAGACTGTGTTTTTTTTTTAAATATTTTCAATTCCAGATAAAGAATTTCCTCTACTGTTTGTAAATAATGGACGAATCAATCGTAAATGAACCTTCAAACGGATACGGAAGTGAACAAGAGCGGGCGGATGGCGTGCGGCTTGTTGTTGTAAGTAATAAATAGCATTGATTACGTAATTTCGCAATTATTCCTATACAAAAAAATGTTTACATTTCTCGTTACACGTGTTCATCTTAGTTAATGTATATTATAACAAATACCTGATATAAATGTTTATGTTAGCAGTTAACAAACTAAGAGATACCCGATCGGTTCGCTGTGCGCATAATAATATATTTTTGCGGAACCTATATATAAAATATCAAGAAATATTTTTTATGGGACTATCGTAAAATTACTACAATGCGAATTGAGTAACTATATTAAATTTCAAGACACTCGGGTATTACATACTATATTGATTATTATATATTACTTATTATATTGCGATGAGTCAGTCAGTCAGTCAGTTATTCAGTCAGTGGTATTCCGCTTATAATCTTTATTTATATGTTTATTAAAATCTATATAAAATTGCGCGTCACGTTGTTAGTCCGCGATGGACTCCTAAACTACTGAACTGATTTCAATGAAATTTTGCACTGTGTGCATTTTGGTCCAACTTGAGAGAAAGGATAGTTTTTATCCCGCTAAATGACCCTCAAAATTTTTTATTACGAATATAAACATTTTTTATATGAAGGGTCGTTGGAAAGGGCAGAACAACGTCTGCCTGGCGAGTTAGTATATTATATATATATTTTACATTACAGGCTATAATGAGCCCGTTGCTGAACATAATTCTCCTCCATACTACCTCATAGGAGGGGGGGGGATATTCGCCGAAGTGGTATCCTAAAGTGACCTAAGATGCAGGTTTTACCTAAGTTTACCAGTTTTTCATTTTTATCAAAAGTATTGTTTCAGATGTAAGCATATATTCATTGTTGCTCTCTTTAATGTGTAATGTTGGTGGAAATAAAAATAAATAAAAATGCAAAAGCGGGTTGGAATGGAACCGGAGTTTTTTTTTTGCACACATCCAACGCGATTCGGAGATATAGTGCTCTGTTGTTACCAAATCAAAAATTCGCGATCCACTCAAATTAAATCGCTTCCACCAGCTTTATACTGAACTCAATTATATAAAAAAAGTACAATAGCAAGAGGAGATTCCAATTAATAATAATTCTGACGTAGTTTTAAATAATTTTTTTGATTATTATTAAATAAAAGTTAATCGAAAATAATTTCACTTGGACGTCAGTTGGTCGGTATGGATGTGAACAAGATATCTTTAGATTTTCTACCGACTTCAAAAAGGATATGGTCTGTTACCTCATAACTTTTTACTGGGTGACCCGATTTCGATGATTCTTTTTTTATTAGAAAGCTGATGCTTCTCATGTGGTCCCAAATGAAATTGATCAAGGTCTGAGCAATAGTTTTGGAGTTATTCTTAATAACTTATATTGAAGTCTGCTGTACAAAATGTTTAATTTTTAATTATTATAAACCTTTTGAATTTCATTATTGTAAACCGTTCCGTTCGAAGTGTGCACTTTTGGATTTTCCAAATATTCTTTTTTGTATCATTCCACTCTTTCGCTTCTTACAACAGTCGATGATATGAAATAGAGGACCTTACGCCTAGACCTAAAGAAATTTTGGAATAACGTATACTAGTCCAGTAATTTCATTTTCAGCTGAATCTCCCGGAGGATGAAGGGGAAGGATTGGGGTTCAGACTTACGAGGACGCTTTGGGATCCATATCCTTGGGTAAGAAGGTTTTTTTTAAATTTTATATGTCACGAGGAAGGTTTTTGGGTAAATAAGTTTCTCGAGTGGCAGCCTAGTAGCGACAAGCGAAGTGCATTATGGTCCAGTAGTAGATAGAGTTAGAACCTGGTAAGTAATGCAAGAAGTCGATGAATGCAGGTAGCTCAGTACTGTCTATGGCATTTCTCGGGGAATACCTATGTTCAGCAGTGGACTTACATAAATAGACATACATACGGACATACACTCGAAAAACATTACCTTTCTTCTCGGGAAGTGGGGTAAAAAAATGATGTTTAATTTGTACGCTTTACGAACGAATGAGTTCATAATATTTTATATAAAGTAAAGAATAAAGAAAAGTATGAAGCTTTTATACAGGTTATTTTTAAAGATAAGTTCAAATATATAAATAATATTATACCGTTATTGCAGTTTGAAAGTACGAGGAAATAAGGCTTCTAAATTTATTTGAAATTAATCCCAAATCGAATGTGATTTATGGGCAACAACGTTTTTGTCTACCGATCGACCCTTATGAATGTGTGCGTGCGCAGTAAAATCAGTTACCACACATTGTGAATATAAGAGATAAAAAGGACAAAATGTTTGAGATTTTTTAATTGATTTTTCTTCACCATTCGCTATATTATTTATTTTGAACCTTCTCTGCAAATTTGGCCGGTTATTGCAAAATAACCCTGTATTTAGTGAAGTATTAAAGGATCTTGGTAATTTTGAGCAGACTGTTAATGTATTGACGGCTCCGTGACGGAGTGGCTTAGCAATAAGTTGCAGTGCTGGGGGCTGCGGGTTCGATTCCCGCACGGAAAATGTATTTGTACGGCCTACAGATATGTGGTCCGGGTCTGGATGTTTGTCCTTGTGCAATTTATGTTTGTAAACTGCTTCCACGATGCAGGAGAAAATCCTAGTGTAGGGGTAACTTTTTTTAAGAAAAAAAAAATTAATATTTCTATTTCTATTTTATAAGGTTCGCGAAGTGACGACAGGATCGAGAGCCGACTCAGCTGGTTTGAGAGCCGGTGACTGCTTGCTGCAAGCTGACGGCAAGAACTTGTTGGGGATGCCGGTAGTTAAAACTAAATAATTACCATTATTTTCTACTATTATGCCTCATTTGGCGGCGAAACACGTGTCGTACCATCGACGGTGGTGTCTTTCCTAGTGTAGTGTTGTTGGAATTAGTAGTGATATGGAAAGTGGTGATGCATAACCATCGATTTTTTCATAGAATAAGGGTGACAGATGAGCACACAGTCCACCTGATGGTAAATAGATGCTGGGGCCCATAGACATCTACATTTATCCTCAATTAAGAATCAAAATGTAGATACGTTGTCACTCGTTAACGTGAAGAGTAAGATGGAATGGCTCTTTTCCAGTAAAAAGGGTTACAGCAGCGTTAAGCTGCGTAAAATACGCTGGTATTCTGTGAGAGCGTAGTCCTACCTATATAGCTGTAGCATGACTGTACCACATTAAAAATTTGTCGCTAATGTGGCGGAAAATGTAAAGGTTAATGTTTATTTCTGTAATATTAGCTATATTTTATATTAATTACATTAAAAATAAAAAAACAAGCCACAGATATTCATGAAAGTAGAAAATTTAAAAAAAAATTAAAATGTCCAAAAAATTTAAGAGCAAACCACTGACGCATTGTTTTGTGTATTAATATAATACTCTAAAAACTGATAAACTTTTATTTAAAACTAACTTTCAATTAAATGACATTGTGTAACAAAAAACTTTACCTTAGTGTCAACTAGCGACATCTGGTGAGCAGAAAATTATTAGCCCTCATTGATATAACACACATAATACATACATATATAAACACTCACGCCTGTCACCCAGAGGGATAGCCAGAGACTACGGACTTCCATTTGGCACGATCCTGACACACCTCTCTTGCTTCCTCCACATCCATATACCTACGCATACGCGCTCGTCGGTTAAATGTAGTCTTAATTTGGCCCATTTTCAATATATCGCCAATTTGGTGGATAAACTTTCGCCTAGGGCGTTCCTTCCCGACTCTGCCGTTCACCTCTGCAACATAAATTTGCTTTGACACTTTTTCCTCATTCATTCTTCCTACATGACCAAACCACCGAAGCATTCCTTTCTTAATCCTGGTCACAACATCATTTTGCAAACCACACTCTTCTCTTATCAAACAATTTCTCACCCTGTCATCCAGATTCAACCCTAACATACTCTTTAATGACCGCATTTCTACAGCGTTTATTCAACTCTCGTGCTTCTTCTGCCACATCCAACTACAAAACACAACAAAATAGGCCAAATTAATAGTACCCTTAACCGACGAGCGTGTACGCGTAGATATATCGATGTGGAGGAGTCGAGGGAGGTGTGTCAGGATCGTGCCAAATGGAAGTCCGTAGTCTCTGCCTAACCCTCTATGTGACAGGTGTGAGTATTCCATTTTATGTTATATGTGTCTTACCTAGCTTGAAGTTATGTATGTATTCATAACTTCAAACTAGGAAAGACACATCATTTTCATTTTATTTACGCGGATGGTAGCTAATTAATTTTTAACATATTTAATATTGTAGATGTGATATAATGTGGTCATTGCATAATTCTAGCCGTTTTACTTCTCAGGTGGGACAAGTGGCCGGTTTGATCAGAGGAGATGGCACTGGTGGAGGAGTAACTCTACTTGTTTGGAATTGCGGTGTCGATCCCAAAGACGATCCCGAGGTGTGTATCATCTTTGAAAAGATATAATCTGTAATTGTTTGTTTAAGAGCTAAATTACTTACTTTTCACTGATCCGAACAACGGTGACTGTGATCACGGTGGCTACTTCCGAATACCATCATAAGTTATGCTGCACTGGTTACATTATAATCCTGTGCAAGTAGCAACATTAGGATTTTTTTTATAGAATAAGGATGATAAAGGAGCACATACTCCATCTGATGGTAAGTGAATGCTGTGGCCCATAGACATCTACATCTATCTTCAATCAAGAATCAAAATGCAGATGCGTTTTCACTCCTGAGAACTAAGATGGAATGTCCAGTGTGGTGTTTTACCCTTGTGCATCGGGACGCACGTTAAGCCGTTAGTCATGCAGCTGATCTCGCTTCGGTCGTTTCGGATTACCGTCCCATCGGACTATGAGAGTGAAGGAATAGAGAGTGCACCTATGCTTGCGCATACTCCCAGGCACTATGATTCTATCTTGTGCAGATGGCTAGTCTACGCTGGGATTGCGCGCCGTGACCAAAATTCGGTCTGGACGACATTATTATGATGTATAATATAATGAATTCCAGTTGCTCTGGAGCTGTGGAGGCGGTTCCCGAGGAGAGAAGTCCAGACGAGCACTAGCCGGGGTTATTAAAGCGCTATCATGTTGCGTGTGTGCCGCTACTGCTACTAAAGCTTTGACTTGCGCCAGATCTCATCTATATTGTGAAGGTAAGTGCCGCGCCATTTTCAGCCTAATAAAAATCGACATGTAATTCTGCTGTCATCCGAAGAGACTATTTTAAAAGTGATGGAGCCATGGTGCAGCTACATATAGTTGTAGCACGAACACTGATGTAAAGTATTTGTTACACAATGTCATTTAATTGGGACGTTAGTTTTTAATAAAAAATATAAGTTTCTAGAGTATTAGTACACATGACAAAGCCTCAGAGGTTTGCTTTTTAATTTTTTACACATTTTGAATGTTTCTACTTTTAAAATATAGCTAATAGTACAGAAAGAAACATTAACCATTACATTTTCCGAACAAATTAACTACCATGCTATGAAATCTATCAAATAAAAATATTATACCTCACTTTTAAATGGCGCCGCCCTGGTGGTAGAAGAAGGTATGGATCATTATTTAAAATTAAAAAATAAATTTGAAATATATAATGAGTATAGTTAAATTTTTTATTTAAATTTATTACAATTAAAATAAAACTATAATAAAATAACTAAAACTAAAAACTTAAATTATCATACAGTCCTACTCTCCGTGGTATCGTGTCAAGAACACTGGCTGTGTTTCCCCGCTGGATGGTTACACTTAGCCTTTGAGCGAGAAAAGAACCAGCCCTCTTATCACCAGCAGCGGTGAACAGTTAAGGTGGACCCCACGGACAGAAATTTTACATTTATAAATGCTAGTATCCAGTGAGAACATTTTTCCCGGTTAATGTTATCCCTGTGCGAATTTCTAACTACAGACTCTTTCTACTATTGTAAGTTATTATAGTAGAAAGAGTCTGTAGTTAGAAAATATCTCTTTCTCTTGCAGTAACAATGACTTTTACGCTCTAATCGACCATTGCCACAATAAACAATGCATTTACCAAGTAGTTTCGTACTTTAAATTTTAAGAATTAAATTGATCTTTTTAAATTCCAACTAAGTGGGATTTAAAGGCATATCCATATTAGGATAGCGTCACGACACCCCAGAAAATTGCACTTCCTATTTCGATCACTAATTATAACACATTATAATAATTGTGAAAACGTGCGCCTTAAAGTTGATATAATACTGAAAGTTGTGTAGATACAGTTTTATTCTTTGTCTTATTTTACTAGATATCTATGTAATATTGTGATCCATCGTAAAAAACTAGCTTCAAAATATCATATTTTTTCAGCATGTTGGAGCAGACTCGAACGCTGCGCGTTGTGCAGAGAAAATTTACCTTCAAAGGATTCGCCTTATGCAAGAAATTTAGTTGCGGAACAGGTACAAGAACTCTTGTAATTAAATTGTTATTGCGTGTAAAAACGGTTTTCTTTTTAATTTTTTTAAAATAATATGTGTGACAAACGAGCACATAGTCCACCTGATGGTAAGTGGATGCTGTGGCCCATAGGTGTATATGGGCCACAGCATCCACTTACATCTATCTTCTATTAAGAATCAAAATGCAGATGCAGATGCGTTGTCACCACTGAGGACTAAGATGGAATGTCTCGTTTACAGTAAAAAGGGTCTCCGGTTTTTTTACACTCAATCTACGACTTTTTTTTATAGAATTAGAGAGACAAACGAGCACACACTCCACCTGATGGTAATTGGTTGCTGTGGCCCATAGACATCTACATCTATCTTCACTTTTTAAATCTCGTTAACTCCAAATGTAAAAAGAGTTAACGAGATGGTATACCACCATCTGTTAGAACTGTCTATCTAACTATGAAGTCTTTTTGATGCCTGTGAATGGTCATGGATTCTCTAACGATGACGATTTTATCCACTCAACAAAGTAAAAGTCAAAATAATTAATCATAATTGGCCATTACAAAAAACTCTATAAAGGTAAAATAAGTAAAGCCATTTCTAATCACTCAAAACTCGTAATCTAATTATAATATTGTGTTTAATATATATAATCATATTTGGTGCGTGTTTACAGGTTTTCGAAGCAATAGCAATAGAATATGAAATAAAAGATACAATTAGAAGAGCATCAAAATGCGCCTCAGCGTACACATCTCCCGACCGATCGCCAAATATATCTCCAACCACGAGTCGGAAAGGTCAATACCAGCTGTCAATGATGAACAGAAACAGAAGAAACGTGCAATCTAACGAGAAATTTGCATCTGACCCCAACATACATCGCTCGCTGAACCACAACGATTTAAATAAACAACTTCTTAGACAAACTTTAAATCCTACCAAAAAGGTAGAAAGTTCAAGTGTTGGTAGCACAAGTAGCAGCTGCAGCTGTCAAACTCAGAACAATTTGCACAGATTAGATAAAAATACAGATACCCAACTAAAAGAGAGTATACCACAGATTTTTGTCGAAGATGTGGGGCTAGATAAAAATAACTGTTCAATGAACGGCAATAATTTTGTGCAGCATAAGTTAGTGACGAAGTTAAGGCAGGCTTCTTCGATGGCCGACCTTCAGAATACTGCTGTATCTGCCTGTTCTCTATCTAAATCATTAAATAACATCAGCTTAGGAAATAAATGGTATGTAACTGAAAAGGCTTTGGTAATTTTATTTTTTTAAGGTTGACACAGTGTACTTAATGATAAGTATAGCATAGGCATTTATTAACCGTCGATTGAGAATCATACAGATATAGTGCCTCGGTATCAATTAAGTTTGACTGCCACGTTGGTCTAGTAGTTGTAAGGACTGTGCAATCCCGAGATTGAATCCCAGGTCGGGCCAAAATTAGTTATTGGGTTTTTTGCCAAGAAATTTTCATTAGCACCTCGGAGTCACGATGTTGGTTGTATTTCGCCTCTGTGCCTCGGAATGCAAGTAAAGTGGCTAGTTCAGCATCTGATTTCTCACCGGTCGTGTCTCATAGGACTATGAGTGTATAGAGAGTGCACCTGTCCTTGTGCATACACTCGGCCACTATATTCTTCAGTTGAGATTGGCCGCCGTGACCGACATTCGGTCTTGGGACATTATATTATAATTTTCAATTGAAAGGTCTAAGTTCTCATCACTTACCATGAAAAACACAACAGCATTATGCTGCTATTTTACGCTATTATTCTATGCGAGCGAGGATCTTCCTGGTCTAGCTTCTATAGACATCGCACTACGTTTATTTTCTTTCAGATGTAACTTACCGCAGTGTACTGATAGCTTAAGAAAGCAACAGTAACTGTACGTAAAAGTTAAATAGCGTATATGTTAGAAATATTTTCGAATCTTAACATTTATTTTGAGAGCCCTAGTAGCTCAGGAGTTGGACTCTCAATTTGAATTTCATTAAATCCGATCTTATTTAAACCCGTTCAGTATTTTAGATGAATTTTTCGCCATTGGTTGGTCACTAGAGCCTCGTCCGTTGTAGAAGGCAGACGAGGTAAACGGTTGCACCACTCCACTGTCCTTTAACAGTTTTTTTTTCATTCTATCGGTGCCTATCATCAATCTACTTCCTATCAGTCTACTTCAAAATATAGGCCTCCCTCAAGAAACTTCGCAAAACACGGTCCTGATCCTCCTTCATCTACTACACGGATCTCGCTCGCACAGATATTTATACGCGGTAGAACCATGCAGTGTATATTACACTATATTGGTAGTATAGTTGTAGCAAGAATGGGTCGGCTGGACCGGGGAAGGACCACGCTCTCACAGAATACAAGTGTAAAATGGCAGCTTGACACTGCTGTGTTTGGTATGGTGAGTGTAGAGAACCGGAGACCCTTTTTACTGTAAAAGAATTATTCCATTTTAGTCCTCACGGGTGACAACGCATATGCATTTTGATTATTTATTGAGGATAGATGTAGATGTCTATGTGTCACAGCAACCACTTACCATCAGGTGGACTCTGTGCACGTTCGTCACCCTATCCTATAAAAAAATAACAGAACCTTTCTTTTAATTCTAATTTTATAACATATATATTTATTATTTTTATTATTACAGCCTATAACTGTCCACTACTGAACATAAGCTTCCCGCCTACATTGCCTCATGGGGTGATTTTGCCATAGTTGCCACGCTTGGCAGGCGGATTGGCAACCGCAGTTTTGACGATATGTGGTAGGGGATATTCTTACACCGCCACTATGCAGTTGGTATATGTATTAAGTTGGATCAATATGTCGATTGAGTGCCGGTCCATGCGCTTCACCAACGGCTCTATAATGTGTCCTAAGCTGTTTACAGTTAGCGACAACTTTCGGAAGTTATATTTATGCTCTAAAGGTACCAAGCAATGAGGGCTAGTAATTTTCTGCTCACCAAATGTCGCTAGTTGACATTGAGGTAAAGTTTTTTGTTAATTGAGAAGTTGGTTTTTAATAAAAGTTTATCAGTTTCTAGAGTGTTAAATTAATTCACAAAAAAATGCGTCAGTGGTTTGCTCTTTAATTTTTTTGCACATTTTTATTTTTTTAAGTTTTTCTACTTTTATGAATATCTGTGGTTTGGTTTATTTATTTTTAATCTTATTAACAGAAAATATAGCTAATAGTGCAGACAGAAACAATAACCTTTACACTTTCCGAACAAATTAACTTCCCCGCTATGAAATCTGTCAAATATTATACTTTACTTTCTAGTGGCGCCGCCCTGGTGGCAGGAAATATCGTGGATGCCCTCATTGGTTCGATAATGAATAGACTTTTGTTACGCTATGATAGTTCTATTTAACATTTAGAGCTTAATCACCACTTACAAGTTTTTCAAGCATTGGCTTGATATAATTAAAAAAAAACAGTTCAGCTTAAAATTTTGTTTCAGTTGCAACAGTGGCAACCATAGGAGCTCCTTGGAAAATTTTAAGTCGAACTGCATCAGTGCTGCTGGTAAGATATAATATTTATTGATACTTAGGTAAAGTCACGGTGATTGATAATAGAACTTCATTGATAGAAATGCTGAAATAGAAATTAAACAATAGCTGTTCCCTGCGACTTCTCCCGCGTGGAATTTATTAAGATGGATGCGCGTAATCCTAATTCTTTTTCTAACATAAAAGTAGACTAAGTTACTCCTTGTAACATCAGCTATCTGCCGGTGAAAGTCCTATCAAAATCGGTCCAGCCACTTCGGAGATTAGCCGGTACAAACAGACAGACAGACGTGGTGAAACGTGGGCTAAGTCGCGAGGAACAGCTAGTTCTCTAATAAAATTTATACTGTTACAATTAATAACGATGAATTTGCGCAATGCTTGATTTTCTTGCTTTATTTTCAGATCCACCTGTGTACGTTCTAGCAGCTCCGCAACCAATTTACTTGGTGACTTGTGATCATGTAAAAAATTGAACTGTTATGTGCCTAGTAACTACTTTAAGGCACTTGTCCCACCGCCAACTATGAACGAGAAGAGAGTAGAGCTAGAAACTAGATAAGAGTTGGCGAGCAGGGAGAAGCGAGTGTGTAGCTCCGATAGTTTTATCGCTAGGCTATTAGCGGATCCTCACTGTAGAGTAATATGACCGCTGGTTGGAGTTTTATCTTTGTTAGTTGAAAAATACTATTATTTGTGTCAAACAGCTCCCCACTTTTTCTATACACACTCAAGAAACCAATTATATCGTAGTTTCCTCATTTTAGAGAATTGTTTATCGGTTAACTCATTTGATTGACCTACACACACGTATCATGCAACAACGAAACGACCTATGCACAGGCGTGTAGTCTGGAGCGGAATGGCTACTCGCAGCGAATACCCTGTCACACACAGCGAATTCTCGCAGCGAGTGCTCATTCGCAGAGAGTAAAATTGAACGTGTTCAATTCAAATCGCAGCACATAGCGAATTCTTGTTGTGAGTATCATTGTCGCTGCGACAAATTAGTGGAGAGAGAGTTCTCGCCGGCAGTGTGAACAACCAGCGACCTATACCTTTCTATTGTTCTTCTCTAGCAAGAAAATAGTAATCGCTTCCTTGGCAGTGGGAAAAGTGCCTACCATGTTTTTGCATAAAATGTTTTGTATAAAAGTGTATATTTAATGACAACATACAAGGTCTTTTATTACTTGATATCTGGCTGTATAGTGGTTTTGTAAGAGAATCCAATACCCAAAATCATCCCGTGGGTGTTGTGAGATGCGGCAAACGGATACCGACACAGGAGATGGGCAGCAGCATCTTCCTAATACAAACACATTCATCGTTGTGTAGATGACAGCACTGACCATGCACTGTGGCAAAACTGGGTGTGTTTCGTCTTATAACTTCATATTTCAGTTGTTTCAAAATTAATTAAGCTGTAATTTTGTATTTTGTAAATATAATATTACATACCTATACTTTGACGTATAGGGTTTTTATAGAAAAAAATATTATTTTGTTATTTTATTTGATTGACCCTCATATATAAATTACAATTATATAAAGTTGTGTGGTCAACATTTCACCACAATAGACATTTTTTTGACCACAGGTAAATTAGGTCTTGAGAACTGTTTAACATATCTCATTTCAATACTTAGAGTAATTACATATAGAGTGATAGTGAGATTCAAAATTCCGTTCAAAGTTGAAGCAAGAACACAATGCATGTGTGCATAAGCGGCCTGTAATTACGTTTGCCCGCACGCACACAAGCAAATGAGTTATGTTTGCAAGTTAATGACATTTTTCCCAAAAAGTGGGGAAAATGTAATAGTAGACATCGTCATAGAATTAATATTTAGGTTGCGTTTATAATTACTTATTAGCTATTTGCAAAGAGAAAAATGTAACATTATTTATTTTTGTTAACTTGTGTAATATTTAAATTAGTTATATACGTAATATCTTGCGTTACATTCACAAATTATTATGTAATTATATTATTCAGTTAGAAGTGGTATATTTATATAAATATTTGTTATTTATCTTCCATAAAATCATATATTATTTGTAAATATTAATTTTTATATAATACTCAATGGCCTTATTCTATGATATATAGAGAAGTGGAAGAAATGGAGGAGGCAAATGCCTACGTCTATTTTTTCCAGTTTTTCCAACCCAGTCCCAGAAGGAATCACGAGACTTAAGAGTGCGGTCAGCTTCAAGTGATTATTATTATTACTTTATTGGATATTATGTTTTGCATTAAAACAAAATAAGATTCGGAAGGAAATAACTATTCAAATAAAACATGAAATAAAAATGTTTATTAAAAATATAAAATAAAATAAAATATACTCAAGTAGGTACGTAAAAAAATATCTCTTAATGACCCTGAAACTGCAACTGTTTTCTAAACAACTGCCGCTTTGATGACTATCCTCGAAATGTTATCTTTTTTAGATTCATAAAAGTGTCGAACTAAAAATGTTAAATATATGTAAATTAGAATAAAAAAAATAATCATAGGCTATGTTATTTATCCTAAAACACATACCATAAAAAGGTAAAAACAACTGCACATTATCAAAACAAAATAAAATCAACATATTTTTTTCGTGGCAAATGGGAACCCTAATAATATTTAGCAAATAAAAATACCGATTTATATGTGAATGATACTATTGGCAGTATGTATGTATTTGTTTCCAATGTGCATTTTTTTATAATTATAATAATAAGAAAAAATGGGGTAAAATATTTTACTATGCCTAGCAACATTTTCATTATATTGGCGTCTGACATATTTATTATTTATTATTTTGTTTTCATGAATGTTTTTTTACAAAAATAAAAGATGCTAGGCAGTGCTTAACCGTGAAATTAGATTTTTACATTTTTTTCGTGATTATGTGATGAGTTGTGACACCCTTTCACAGTACAGTTCGTCATTTTTTTGAAAAATTGTGCGAGACGTTTACTCGACTACGTGGACTCGAGTACTAACGCCCCAAAAGTCGTACTTAGCCTTTAAAGGCTAACTTGAAATGGCTTCACTTTGCGTGCGCCTACTGCGGTTCTATGCCTAATACTTCTATGTTTCAATACGTTTACAAATATAACGTTATCCATGCTATTTTATAAAAAAAGTTTTGAAAAAATTGGTTTTTATCTTGCGATGTATTTTGGATCCGTCCGTATCAAAAAATAGCAAGTAAGTGCAATTTTTTTATCCTTATACAGAGTAATGTAACAATACCTCGACATCAGCGAGCATCGGTAAGAGTTAAATCTCTTGGTAAAAAAGTGTAAAAATATACCACCTTAAACTATATTCGTTATTTTATTTTTGAAGAAAAATTTGAAGAAACATATAAGCATTCCAAAAATGTATAATACTTATGTACTTATTATATGGAAAACTTTCAAGTAATGTGGCATTGAATCGTAATAACATAGACTTAGAATATACTGGCGTATAGACGACCTGACAGCCCGAAAATGTGTAACCAATTTGATTTGTCATTGTGTGCGTTAGCAAGTGATGTAAATTTTTATTTATAACGTTAAACAACTAAGAATATGTAGATACTTAATTAAGTATATACCTATTTATACTTTATATATTTCATAAAATGTTTTGCTGTTGAAATAAAAAAAAAACGGGGACACGGAGTAAATAATGAGTGCTTTATTTTTCATATAAATATTACTTTCAATAATTACAAACATTTAATAATTAATGAATAAATACATTACAGAACTTAATTTTAACATTCGATTATTATATATTGTTTAAAGGAAAATATGTTTATGAGGCTTTCATCTGTCCCCGAAAAATAATAATCTTATAATATTATTATTTTAGATGCATGAATTTAATAAACGTAATGATCTTACACAGACTAGTTAAATACGCAGGAGGTTGTGAGTATCGAATACTATGGAATTTATACTATTCTGGCACACTAACCTGCGCGTCTCATGCGGGTACATCTAGCGGCGCTTCAGGAGCATTACTAAATATCTATACTTCATTACACTAAACGTTTTATCATTGTGACTTGGGAATATAATCCGTAGCTCCGCTCAACCCCTTGAGGAAAATAGCGTGATGCTATAAATGTTGTACTAGTGTGACCGTGAGGTGCGGGTGGTTAAGTAAGGTTATACATTTTTTTGGTTGATAAATACTTGGATAGATACTTAGTTGGGTTCATAATTGCTTAAATAGGATAATCTCAAACTTCTTTATTTTTAATATACAACAGTTTTATAATGTATAAAAATCTCTATATTTACCTAAAGTTTTTGAAGTTTAATTTTTGAAGTCTTACTGTAACAATATAATACTTACTGGTACTAATAATGTAGGAATGGCTCCTTTTAATGAACTTGTTTTTAATTGATAGAATCAGGCGTTACTTTGCGGAAGTCCATTATAATGGGGTAGTTATAAACTAATTTGCTTAATTCCGCGTAAAGAAAGAAAATGATGTGTCCTGCCCAGTTTTAAGGGGACCTCCCACCCTCCCTCAATCGCGCGCACTATACCCGTCGCCGTTAATCTCAGCACCATCACCCCCAGCACCACCACACTAGGAATGACACACCACTCTCGAAAATACGACACGTGTTTCGCCTCTACACGAGGCATCCTCAGGTGAAGTAGACTCTGCGGAGGCTGGCCGCTAAGTGAGCGGCAATTTATACTACGCGGAGCACGGTTGCGTCAGCTCGCTCAGTCCCGGGACTCGAGACAACTAAAATTACGAAAAGTCCCGGGGCTTCGAGCCACGAGACGTCCCGGGGCGCAAACCCTAATTTAAATACTTTTGAAGATAATTTCTAACATCAGAAGTGGGATGTTTTCTTACAATATATATAAAAGTAATAAAAAAGCTACAGTTGCCAACCTGCTTGCTAAGCGTGGCAACTACGAATCGGTGAGGCCATCTCTTTTCTAGGGGTAAGGTTTCGTTTAGGGCATTGTTTAGGTGCTGAAACAGGATCCAATCAACTTGCTGAGCGCTTGTGATTGTCAAACAGAATCCATTTTTCGTCGCAGGTAACAAACAATGCGATTGTAAATTTCTGATGAGCAGTGCAAGGCACATCTCGACGTGTACTTCACGTTGGTGATCATTGAGGTCGTGGGGCACCCATTTGTCAAGCTCTTTTATCTTGCTATTTTGACGAAATGGATCAATATTGTTTTATTTATTTATTTATTAAGGACAGCCAACAAATCTTACACCAAAAACATTAAATTCTTAAGCTATCATTGAAGATTTAAGCTATGTGTAGATTGAATTACAGGCTGCCACGACTTGCAGATGTGAGTGTTTAATGTTTATTTAAAAAGTAATAAAACATAAAATTGAAACCAAACTAATCCAAAATTATTCCGTACTTAAACTTGCACCTAGAAGTAACTTTTTGAATTTAGAGAGGCTATTTGAAAAAAATGTCTTCGTTCGTT